CCTGCCCCTCTTCCTCCTCTTCCCTCCTCCTCCTCCTCCTCCTGCTCCTGCTCCTCCTCCTCCTCCTCCTCCTCCTCCTCCTCCTCCTCCTCCTCCTCCCACTCCTCAGTATTCCGCCCCACAGTCTCTGGGCTCCGATGATCTGCCGCTGCGACCTGTGCTCGGGGTCGTCTCGCGTGTTAGGCTGAGGCTTGGCCGCGGGATCCTGCGGATGGTTCGGCTCAGCTCAGAATTCAGCTTAGGCCTTTCGCCAAGAGGCTGAAGTTGGGTTCGGGCGGGGCTCCAGATTTCGGGTCGTTCCTTAGATCGACGTCGGGGAGCCTATTCGCAGTCGAGGCCCGCCGCGGCCAGAGAGGCCCCTTCGTCCCTTACGTACTCAGCATCCCTTGTGGTGGCACGATGACTGTAACGTAGGCTGGAGCATATGCAGAGGCACAGACTCTGGCGTGGGTGTTGGCGTACGTTAGGAATCGGCTTGGACTCGGGCGCTGGGCTTCAGGCGCAGGCGTAGGCCTCGGCTCAGGCATGGGCGTTGGCGCTGGCGAGCTCGTTGGCTCTGCCGCGAGCAAGGGCTTTAGTTTGAGCTTGCTATTCGGCCTGGGAATGGATTGGCCCTTGGTCTGAGCTTGGGCCGAAGAAAGAATAGGAGGGAGAGGAGGATGATGAGGAGGATGAGGAGGAGGAGAAGGTTGTGCCGGGCCTGGGTTTGGGCTTGAGCTCAGGCGGAGGTTTCGGAGTAGGCTCAGGCCTTGGCCTAGGCTCAGGCTGCAGCTCGTGGCTTACGCTGAGGCTTTGGACAATTGGCAGTTTGGGCTTTTTTGTGCATCCAATGGCCTCCCCTCCAGGGTGCCCTGGGTTTCTTGGGTCTCGACAGTTTTGCTATGGAGAGCGTGGCGTTCCCGCACCAACAATCGATGGACGTCCTGGGGTCTGAAGGTTGGGTTTCTTGTGCCAGGTTTCTTGTGGACTGGCCCCCACTGTATTCTTGACGCTTCACGTGCCTCCCCCAGCCCATCCAGGAACGCCGCCAGGGTGAGTTGCTCGATCAGAGAAATGTAGCAGCATGTAGTGCAGGAGCGCAGCACATCTGTCTTTCCTTCAGACACTTCAGAGGAGGAGGAGGAGGAGGAGGAGGAGAAGGAGGAGGAGGAGGAGGAGGAGGAGGAGAGGAGGAGGAGGAGGAGGAGGAGAGGGAGGCGCAATATGAGGAGGATCGGGGAGGACCTGAGAAAGGATTCTGCGGATGCGGAACTTTCGCTTGGGGGGGGCGCGCAGCGAGGGGACGGGGTCGGCCCTAGGAAACTAAATGACCTTACCAGGTAGCATGGGGAGCGTTCTGACACACCCCGCCGTGCACACGGCGCGGGGGCGGATGGAGAAAAAGAGAGAGAGATCGGGGCGTGGACGGAGGGGGGGCGAGAGAGAAAGAGAGAGGGAGACGTATGGCACACGTATGGCTGCCTCTGCTCACGGACGCCCTTGCTACAGTGAACTTGCGCCTCAACCTATCGAAAACGAAAGTCTGGATACCTTCGGCCGGCCATGGCGTCCATCACCCTGTCCTACGGCGCATGGGCCTTGCCCAGGTCTTCGACAATTTGGAGTTGATGGGTGGCGCTTTGGATGGGCAGCATGCGGCCTCAATCGGCTCCTCGTCGGTGCCTGCGGCATCCGCGAAGCGGCTGGGGCAGGCCGAGGAATTGGCCGCCACGCTCCAGACCATGCTCCGCACTCCCCTCACGCAGCCTGTCCACCGCACCGTGTGGACCCTACTCGACAAGGTCTTGAACAAAGCCCTGGACTACGACGCCCGCATTCTTCACCCGGAGTCCTTCTCCACCCTAGCGGAGCGATTAGACCATGCTGTTCTGGCCACGTCTTGTGGGGTTACGCGTACTGCGAGTTTCACGGCACAGCAGGTTGGCTGCTTGAGGCTGTCGGCACGGCGCGGGGGTTGTGACCTCACCAGCGCAAGGACCAAGGGCCTGTTTGTCCATCTCGCTGCTGCTTCCCAGTACCTGCCTGCCGTCGCGCAGAAGCTGGCCGCACTGGGGTACGAGCAGAGCTGCGTCGAGGGTGCGATCGACCTTGCTGGCGTTGACCACTGTTTATCCGCGCTGGAGCGCCATTCCGTGCACGTCCGCCACGACGGGGGTATCGTCACTGGAGCCCCGCCTTCTTCACGCTTAGCGCCTTCGGCACTGCTTTGGGGGCAGGCTCGGAAGATCCACAGTCCATTATTAGACGCATTGGAGTCCTTCTCGGAGCAGGCCCTCCGGGACAGCTTCTCCGGGTCAAAGCGGGATCTGGCCCGCCTCTGGAGTTGCTCCGGGCCCGTGTCGAGCCGCTGGTTAACGGAGTTTCCGGCGTCGTGGTGGCCGGCGGTACTTGACGACAAGTTCACGATGGCCCTGAAATTCAGGCTCGGTCTCCCGGTGTATCCGGCTGGTCTGCAGTGCGCCCACGCCCAGTCCAAGGACCCGTTTGCAGTATGTGGGAAGGCCCTGGATATCTCTGGGGACCACGCAGTGTGCTGCAACGTCGGGCCGTACACGTCGATCCGGCACAGCGCCTTGAACGGCATCCTGGCGCAGGCCGGGCGCGACGCTGGCCACGCGGTCCTGCTCGAGCAGGTGGTCCCCGAGCTCGGCTTCAAGAAGTCCCGCCGGGGCGGCACCGAGGTGTGGGTTGAAGCAGTCTGAGACGTCGAATTGTTCGGCCACCCCACGGCGCCGGATCGTCTATTAGACGGCACTGTCCGGCGCCCCGCTGCACAACACATCCTGGACACTGCCGCCGTTACTCCGGGCGCGGCGGCGGAGGAGGGCGCGAAGTGCAAAGAGGCTCGCTACAGGCCATCTGCTGGCAAATCTGTTTTGCCCTGCGCCATGGAGACGTGGGGCCGCATCGACGACGGGCTCGACGATCTCCTGGGCGAGATGGCTGTTCTGGCAGCGCACAGGCAGCGGGATCGCAGCATTATCCCCGCGCGGTGGCGAGCGAAGTGGCGCACTTTGCTCAGCATCAGCGCCGCCATGGCCATCGGCCGGGCTCTGCTGGACGCGGCGCCCGCGCAGTGCCGGCCCTGCGGCCCCGCGCGGAGCAGGGCGGCGGGCCGGGGGCCAGGCGGCGGCGGCGGGTAGCCTGCTCCATCTTCCTTATTTGTGCATGTGCTTTGTTGGATTCGTGGTGGAATTGCGAGAGAGGGAGAGAACGATGTTTGTGCATGTGTTCTGCGGTGGCCCCCTCTGAGGGAGAGGAAGAAAGAGAGAGAGAGAGAGAGAGAGAGAGAGAGTGAGAGAGAGAGAGAGAGAGAAAACGGCAAGGTTTTGTTGCGAATGTGCCCGGCAGTCCCAATTTCTGACTACGTGCCAGCGTGGACACCAAACAGTGAGTTATCGCCCTATAGGTGCGTGTTCTTTGTCGTGCGAAGTTGCAAGCAATGTAGTGCAATGCATTTGGTGCGTACAAGTTGTAATGAAAAACCGTAGTAGCAGTAGTCGTAGTATAAGCACAGTGGGGGCGCGCATCAAGGAACCATATGATTTTCGTCAGGGCATCCAGGGTTTCTTCGCTCCGCGCGCTGCGCGGTGACTTCCCGCGGCCGTTGAAGAAGTTGCGGCGTTCAGGGTGCTCCGGGTTTCCCCTCAGGTGCACTTCGCGCGGGGGTTTTCGGGGTTGGGTTTCTTGCGAGGGTTCCTTGCCGCCGCGCCCGCATTGTAATCCTAGTCCAAGTAATGGTGGCTGTGACGGTTGCAGAGGCAGTGACAGTGGCACTGGTAGTGGTAGCGCTGATCGTCGTAGTCGTGGAAGTGGTAGTGGTAGTGGTGGTGGTGATCGTAATATTAGTATGAATAGAAGCAGTAGTCGTAGTAGTAGTAGTAGTATTCGTAGTAGTATTAGTACTAGTAGTAGTGGTGGTAGTAGTAGTAGTAGTAGTAGTAGTAGTAGTAGTAGTAGAGTAGTAGTAGTAGTAGTAGTAGTAGTAGTAGTAGTAGTAGTAGTAGTAGTAGTAGTAGTAGTAATAGTAGTAACAGTAGCAGTAACAGTAGCAGTAGCAGTAGCAATAGTAGTAATAATAGTAGTAGTAGTAGTAGTAGTAGTAGTAGTATAGTAGTAGTCGTAGTAGAGTTAGTAGTAGTAGTAGTAGTAGTAGTAGTAGTAGTAGTAGTCGTAGTGCTCGTAGTAGTCGTAGTAGTAAGTCGTAGTAAGTAGTAGTAGTAGTAGTAGTAGTAGTAGTAGTAGTAGTAGTAGTAGTAGTAGTAGTAGTAGTAGTAGTAGTAGTAGTAGTAGTAGTAGTAGTAGTAGTAGTAGTAGTAGTAGTAGTAGTAGTAGTAGTAGTAGTAGTAGTAGTAGTAGTAGTAGTAGTAGTAGTAGTAGTAGTAGTAGTAGTAGTAGTAGTCGTAGTCGTCGTCGTCGTCGTAGTAGTAGTACTAATACTAGTACTAGTACTGGTTGTATTATCAGTAGCAGTAGAGTGGCAGTGATCGTGGTAGTAGTAGCGGTAGCGGTAGTGGTGGTAGTAGTAGTAGTAGTAGTAGTAGTATTCGTCGTCGCAGTCGTAGTAGTCGCAGTCGTAGTCGTAGTAGTAGTAGTAGTAGTAGTAGTAGTAGTAGTAGTAGTACTAGTAGTAGTAGTAGTAGTAGTAGTAGTAGTAGTAGTAGTAGTAGTAGTAGTAGTAGTAGTAAATAGTAGTCGTAGTAAATCGTCGTCGTTCGTAGTCGTAGTATTCGTAATAGTAAATAAGTAGTAGTAGTAGTAGTAGTTAAGTAGTAGTGTAGTAGTCGTAGTCGTAGTCGTAGTCGTAGTCGTAGTCGTAGTCGTAGTCGTCGTAGTAGTAGTAGTAGTAGTAGTAGTAGTAGTGGTAGTAGTAGTACTAGTACTAGTACTAGTACTAGTACTAGTACTAGTAGTAGTAGTAGTAGTAGTAGTAGTAGTAGCAGTAGTAGTAGTAGTAGTAGTAGTAGTGCTTGTAGTAGCAGTGGTAAGTGTAGTTGTGCAGTAGCTTGTAGAACAGCAGTGGTAACAGTAGTAGTAGTAGTAGTAGTAGTAGTAGTAGTCGTAGTAGTAGTAGTAGTAGTCGTAGTAGTAGTGGTAGTAGTCGTAGCAGTAGCCATAGAAGAAGAGGCAGCAGCAGCAACCGCCGTAGTAGTAGTAGTAGTAGTAGTAGTAGTAGTAGTAGTAGTAGTAGTAATAGTAGCGGAAGTAGTAGTAGTAGTAGTAGTAGTAGTAGTAGCTGTTGTTGTTGTAGTTGTAGTAGTAGTAATAGTAGTAGTAGTAGTAGTAGTAATACTCGTAGTAGTAGTAGTAGTAGTAGTAGTAGTAGTAGTAGTAGTCGAAGTAGTCGTAGCAGTCGTAGTAGTCTTAGTAGTCTTAGTTGTAGTAGTAGTAGTAGTAGTAGTAGTAGTAGGTAGTAGTAGTAGTAGTAGTAGTAGTAGTAGTAGTAGTTGTAGTAGTCTTGTCAGTAGGAGTAGTGGTAGTAGTTGTAGCCGAAGTAGTGCTAGTGTTCTTGTGAGTGGTTGTGTCAGTGTTCGTCCCAGTAGTAGTAGTAGTAGTAGTAGTAGTAGCAGCAGAAGTTGCAGTAGTAGAAGTAGTAGTAGTAGTAGTAGTAGTAGTAGTAGTAGTAGTAGTAGTAGTAGTCGTAGTAGTAGTAGTAGTAGTAGTAGTAGTAGTAGTACTAGTAGTAGTAGTCGTAGTAGTAGTAGTAGTCGTCGTAGTAGTAGTAGTAGTAGTAGTAGTAGTAGTAGTAGTAGTCGTAGTCGTAGTCGTAGCCGTAGTCGTAGTCGTAGTACTAGTCGTAGTGCTAGTCGTAGTAGTAGTACGAGTAGCCGTAGTAGTAGTAGTAGTAGTAGTAGTAGCAGCAGTAGTAGTAGTAGTAGTAGTAGTAGTAGCAGTAGTAGTAATAGTAGCAGTAGTAGTAGTCGCAGTAGTCGCAGTAGTCGCAGTTGTCGTTGCAGTAGTAGACGTAGTAGTAGTAATCGTAGCACTCTCCGTGGAAGGGGTAATAGCGTAGAAGCAGTAGTAGTAGTGTTCGTACTCGTAGCAGTAGCAGCAGCAGCAGTAGTAATAGCAGTAGTAGTAGTAGTAGTCGTAGCAGTAGTAGTAGTAGTAGTAAACGTAATAATCGTGGTAGTCGTAGTAGTAGTAGTAGTAGTAGTAGTAGTAGTAGTAGCAGTAGCAGTAGCAGTAGCAGTAGTAGTAGTAGTAGTAGTCGTAGTAGTAGTAGTAGTAGTAGTAGTAGTAGTAGTAGTAGTAGTAGTAGTAGTAGTAGTGTGAGAAGTATTAATAGTCGTAGTAGCAGTAGTGGTAGTAGTAGTAGTAGTAGTAGTAGTAGTAGTAGTAGTGCTAGTAGTAGTAGTAGCAGTAGTAGTAGTAGTAGTAGCAGGAGTAGTAGTAGTAGTAGTAGCAGCGACAGCAGTAGTAGTCGTAGTCGTCGTAGTCGTAGTCGTAGTAATAGTCGTAGTAGTAGTAGTTAGTAGTAGTAGAGTCGTCGTCGTCGTCGTCGTCGTCGTCGTCGTCGTCGTATCGTAGTTGTAGTCGCAGTCGTAGTAGTAGTAGTAGTAGTAGTAGTAGTAGTAGTAGTAGTGGTAGTAGTAGTATTGAGTAGTACTATTACTACTACTTCTAGTAGAAGTCGTAGTAGTCGTAGTAGTCGTAGTAGTAGTAGTTAGTAGTGTAGTAGTAGTAGTAGTACTACTACTACTAGTAGTAGTCGTAGTAGTCGTAGTCGTCGTCGTCGCGTCGTCGTCGTCGTCGTAGTAGTAGTAGTAGTAGTAGTAGTAGTAGTAGTTGTAGTAGTTGTGGTAGCTGTAGTAATAGTAATAGTAGTCGTAGCCGCCATAGTAGTAGTAGTAGTAGTAGTAGTAGTCGTCGTTGAGGTAGTCGTAGTAGCCGTAGTACTAGTAGTAGTAGTAGTAGTAGTAGTAGTAGTAGTAGTAGTAGATGTAGTAAAGTAGTAGTAGTAGTAGTAATAGTAGTAGTAGTAGTAGTAGTAGTAGTAATAGTAGTAGTAGTAGTAGTAGTAGTAGTCGTAGTAGTAATAGTAGTAGTAGTAGTAGCAGTCGCACTAGTAGTAGTAGTAGTAGTAGTAGTAGTAGTAGTCTTTGTCGTCGTAGTCGTAGACGTAGTAGTAGTAGTAGTAGTAGTAGTAGTAGTAGTAGTGGTAGCCGTCGTCGTAGTAGTAGTAGTTGTAGTAGTAGTAGTAGTAGTAGTAGTAGTAGTCGTAGTCGTAGTCGTAGTCGTAGCCGTAGTTGTAGTAGTTGTAGTAGTAGTAGTAGTAGTAGTAGTAGCCGTAGTCGCAATAGTAGTAGTAGTAGTAGTAGTAGTTGTTGTTGTAATCGTAGTCGTAGTCGCAGTCGTAGTCGCAGTCGTAGTCGTAGTCGTAGCCGTAGCCGTAGTCGTAGTAGTAGTAGTAGTAGTAGTAGTAGTAGTAGTAGTAGTAGTCGTAGTCGTAGTCGTAGTCGTAGTCGTAGTCGTAGTCGTAGTCGTAGTCGTAGTCGTCGTCGTCGTCGTCGTCGTCGTCGTCGCCGTCGTTGTCGTCGAAGTAGTCGTAGTAGTCGTAGTAGTCGCAGTAGTCGTAGTAGTCGTAGTAGTCGGCGTAATAGAAGTAGCCGCAGTAGTAGTGGAAGGAGTAGCGTGCTTTTTTGTCAGTGAAGCTTTCGGATAGCGGCGTTGACCGCTACAGAGACATACGCTCAAGTTGCGCGTCTGAAGAAGGGGGAAGAGGAGAGGGGGGGGGATGATGATGATGATGAGGAGGCGGAGGAAGATACGGAGGAAATTGGGTCCTCGTTTGGAGCAGCGTCCTCGGTTGGAGTTGGGCCCTCGCCTGGACGCCCGCAGCGGCTGGCACCCAGCTGCGTCAGGAGCAGCATCAGCAGCACCAGCGACAGCAGCACGAGCGTTGCGCGCGTATCCGTAGCCGCCATGGTTCGAGGTCTTTGACAAGACGTCGCCAGCCATGCGCAAAGCAGGTCGTGTAAACGACGGCGCAGTCGCGAAGGTGGCGAAGCAGCCATCCGAGATCAATGCATCGACCGTGTTCCGCACGAGTTCGGTGCCTGACCTGGGGCTCGAGGCGAAGGCATCGTACCCGCTGAGGGTGTACGTGCTTCGGTGCCGCGGTGGTGGCACCTACGCGGGCATCTCGCCGAAGAACCTTGTGCGGGGGCGCATCGCCAAACAGTTATCTGGGGAATGGCCGAATT